TGCACGTGTGCGCACCATGAACACCCAATACAATCTGACGGGCTGAATCCTTGGAAGTGAGCAATGAAAGGAAGCATCACTTGGTAACCTGTCGCCCCTTCACAGGGAGCCCCGCCTCTCAGAGTCCTGAGTGTGTCTGGCAGGTGAAGGCCCTCTAGGTCTCCTGGGGGGAAGCCCTCCTGGAGCCCAGGGTCCACCAGCAGCACAACCTTGGGCTCCAGTCTTTCTGCTGAAACTTAAATTCATTTACCAACTGAGCACCTTTGCCCAGTGTCCCAGGGTGTCCCGCTCAGCATGTCCTAAACAGCATGCGCACCGTCCCCTCAGCTCCACGTGCTGACTGAACAGTCCTAACATCCCACCCATCTTTCGACATAAGCAATGTGGGCCTCTTGAGCCAATATAAGGCCTCGGGAGGAGGCAGACGTGACGAAGGATTATTCCACACACATTAATAATGGATGTATATTAACCACCTTGCAAAGAAAAACAGTAGTATAATACAAGACTTGCTTTTATTGGTTCTCCCTTGACCATGGTTGCTCTGTAGCCATGTTAGCTCACTGTAGGCCTATGTTTCCGAGCTCGTGTTACAGTTATGACACCAAACAGACACAGTACACGTTAATCTACACCGTCCCTGAAACAAAATATTTTGGGACCAATATGTTTTAGAATTCAGAATGTAATTCAAACACTGTATACTATATGATCCCCCAAAAAGCCTGGGCAGCACCTAGAGCCAAACACGTTAATAGTCCTACAGTGAAAACGTGGGTAATCCCTGAAAGTAGAAAAAGTAAATGCATCTCTTCAGTTCAGGCGAGGTTTTTCTCCCAGTGAGTGTTGAGAAAGCCTGTAGGCCCCAGGGCTTTCTCACTTTGGGATTAGGAAGGAGCTCGCCTGACTGGGGAGGCCAGAGGGGTCGTCCGCTGAGGGCCGCTCGTTCCTGGAGGGACCCCCTCAGCTCTGTTCTGGCCTCTGGCCTTTCACATTTGTACTTTAGTTTGAATGAACCGAGTGTGTTTTCCTACATCCTAACCACATCATTGTATTGTATTCTTCCTGTAGCAGGGGATTCATTGTTTTTATCAGATTTTTCAAAAGGTTCAATGACCCCAAAAATGTTATGAACCATTGCTATTCAGCAGACTCACATATTTTTCAGAGCTGCAGCCCCTTTATACTGGAGGGTCCACCCTAAAGGCACCTGGCTTCAGTCACTGGGGGGAGAGGGAGGCGCCCTCTAACATACGGCCTCTTACCCAGGCCCCGCTGGAGAGCCGGCAGAGCCCCACAGATTTCAGGGCACGAGATCCATGTCGCACTCGGCACACCCTCTCGTAGCTGTGTCGCCTGTCTCCCCAAGGACTCGGGGGACAGAGCTTCTTGAGGGCTAATGAGGACTTGCTCACCGTTGGGTTCTCAGTGCCCAGCATGGCACCCAGCACATCGCGGCAGCCGTAGGACGCCCGGTCGGGGGTGGTAGGCACAGTACACCCCACGTGACCCGGCCACTCTTCCAGATTCTGGAGAACACGCCAGAGAGTCACGTGGACCACTCCTCCTTGAAGCTGGCCCTCGGGCGGGCGGAAGAGCTTTGCTCCCAGGTGAACGAAGGCGTCCGGGAGAAGGAACACGCGGACCGCCTGGAGTGGCTCCAGACGCACGTCCAGTGCGAGGGCCTCGCAGAGGTGAGGCTGCGGTGGGAGCCGGGCCGCCGGGCAGGCTCTGGGGGGGACCGGGGCCAGCCTCCCCCAGTGGGGACCGTCTGCACCTCAGCTCAGCGCAGGTGCACGCAGGGCCCACCTTTCTGGGCCGCCGTCCCCCTTCCTCGACAGAGGGATTTGGCGCTTACGTCTTGAGGTCTTTGAGTTCAGCTGCTAGAGCCGGGACTGTGGGTGTGAGTGGCTGTTCTCACCGCGCCCGTTGGGAGAGAAACACGGTGTGCAGGTGAATGCTGTGTCCACATTCCCATAGAAAGGGCTCCCACAGAACCCTCGGGCCCGGCTCCAGCCTGGGATGCCGGTCGGTGGGTGTTGGGACTTACACACTGACCGACCGTTTCTTTCTCCTAAAGCAACTCATTTTCAACTCCCTCACCAACTGCCTGGGGCCGCGGAAGCTGCTGCACAGCGGGAAGCTGCACAAGGCCAAGAGCAACAAGGAGCTGCACGGCTTCCTCTTCAACGACTTCCTGCTCCTCACCCACCTGGTCAAGCAGTTCGCCGTGTCCTCGGGCGCCGAGAAGCTCTTCAGCTCCAAGTCCAACGCTCAGTTCAAAATGTACAAGATGGTGAGTGGCCGTCCGGCAGCAGCGGCACCGGGACCTCCTTCCGGCCTGGCCCTTCCAGTCCCCGCGGCCCCACCCCTGCTCCAGGTGGCTCACCTCCCTTACCCCTTCCCGGGGAAGGGCCCGTGTGGCAGGGCCTTCACTGCCCTGACAGCCACCAGGGACTCCAGCTCGGGTTCTGGCAGCCGTGACACATGCCCCGCCTCTCGCACATTCAGCATCGGGTCTCGGGGGTAGAGTGCCAGGTGCCGTGTGCGGAGGGGAGACCCTGTCGCGTGAGCAGTCACAGCTCGGAGCCCCTGTCCGCGGTTCAGTCACACCTAATCCACCCCAGATAGTTACCTTCACAAAACGGAGGCTGTTTCTTCCGCCCCAATAAGCCTCTGGAAGCAACACCCCCCTCTCCTTCTCCAAGAGGCACTTTTTCTTTTTTAATGAAATCTTTATTGTTGAAAGTATTACCCCGCCTTCCCTCTGAGATTCCAAAGTCTGTCCCATGCTTCTATCTCTGGATCTGTTTTGTTCATTGGCTTCCACATATGAGTGAGATCATGTGATACTTCCATGGCCCCTGTTTCCCCCATTGGCCCCTTCTAGCCCGCCCCAGGCCTTCACCACCCTATCGTCTGTCCTCAGGTTATGCATACAAGTTCATTGGTTGATCTCGCTCGCCAGGTCCCTCCTGCTGTCTCAGACAGCCTCTTGACACGAGGCTCTTGAGGACAGACAGAACTCCGGACGAGGGGGCAGAGTGTCTGGCCCATCTCACAGCCTGTGTTCTGGCCTAACTCTTTCAGCCCATTTTCCTGAACGAAGTCCTGGTGAAACTGCCCACAGACCCATCCAGCGAGGAGCCTATCTTCCACATTTCTCACATCGACCGGGTCTACACCCTCCGGACAGACAACATTAACGAGAGGTCAGTCCCGTGGCCTCTTATGACCAGTGCCCTGCCCGGCCCGCTGGGAGGCTGATCCCAGCCACCTCCTCACAGAGCTTCTTCCCCAGGGCAGACCCACATGCACTCGCTGCTGAAACCCCTCAGGCAGCAGCCAGTGCTCCTCTGGTCTCCAGAGGCCCTGCTCGCGCCTCTTGGGCACAGTCCCATCGCTGCACCCACAGGACCAGCCGGACCTGCTGCCTCCCCTGCCTCTCAGTGTGGACCGCGGTCCTACCCCCGCGGCCTGGCCAGCCAGGCGGCCTCTAGGGTGGCGCTCAGACAGGGCCTCTGTGATGGCAACGGGTGCACAGCCCAGTGTGCGGGGACCTGTCACTACTGAACGCCGTTGATGCAGCTGCATCTTCCCTTTGGGGGGCACCTCGCAGTGCCCAGCGTGTCCGAGAGCTCGGAGTGGTGCCTGCCGCATCTAAGCGCTCAGAGGGGTGCCCGCTGCGTCCGGGCGCTCAGAGCGGTGCCTGCCCTTTTGTAAGTGGTCAGGACTGTCTAGAAATGATCAGCTCGACCTCAGTTAGCAAACGAATCTTTGAGTTGAGCGAATATTAAGCCTGTGATTGGGAATGTGTTTAAGCCGAGGTTAGCCAAAGAGAGGAGAGGGGTGCCGGGCTTTGGCTCCTGGGAGATGCGGGGAAAGCTGCCCAAAGGCTGTGCTCTGCTTCCCCCAGGACAGCCTGGGTGCAGAAGATCAAGGCCGCTTCTGAGCAGTACATCGACACGGAGAAGAAGAAGCGAGAGAGGGCCTATCAAGGTAGTTGGACGGGCCCTGACTGTTGGAACCAGCCACCAGGGGGCCCTGGGGAGTGGGGGGGTGGGTCCTTACCTTCAGGACGCAGCTGTGACAGTGAGGGGTAGATGGGGAGTGAAAGGCCAGACTTGCTGCAGATCAGCTGCTCTTCCCACCCCCACCCCCAGGCTGTTCCAAACCTCCTGGGCCTCCCGGAGCCCCTCACCTGCTGCCCCCAATACACACACACCTCTCCTCTGGGCAGCAGCTGAGTCCCATAGGTTCCTCACTGTTCTCTTTCCCATTTACCTGGTCCTTTCCTTTCCCCATGACACAGCCCCTACAGCCCCCCTCCCAGGCTGTAGCATGAGTCCCCCGTGGCCCATCACGCCCCTTCATTTCTGGAGTATCTGCTCTCAGTATCTCTCTCCCTCCTTAAACATCTTCCCTGTTGCTGCCCAAGTTAAGGTCAAAGTTCTTACCCTAAACTCAGGGCCCGTACCGTTGTCTAATTGAACAACTCACCTTTGAAACCCTGTCTGCCTCCTCCTCCAGGCAGTCCCCCGTGTGTGTCCCTGGCCGCTATAGTTGCAGTTCTTTATGTTTTTTTATTCAGGTTTTCCTTATTTTGTTACATACTCCTGAAAGGTATGTGTAACTCGGCTTTTACTAATTGTGTCTTGTTTTAATGGTATTTTAAAGGCTTGCTATTGGGAAATCAAAGACTGAATCATTTATAAAGCATACAAAGATCTGTCTCTTAATTGGTCAGGGATGTCAATCAAAGTTTTTCCATGTGAGTTTTGCTTAACATCAATACCTGTCCATATGCATTTTCCACGTGTTTAATTCTTCAGACACTTATTGATTACTTACTCTGTGCCAGGCCCCATGCGAGCCTTGACCAGGCCTACAACAGTGAACAGGCCCAGCCCTGCCCACCTGGAGTGGGCACCCAGGAGAGGCGGGCACCTGCTCATAGAGCAGGTTTCCTTGCCCTGGTAAACACCAATAGTTTGCCAAGCAGACTTTTTGTTCGTCTTTTTACCACCCTGAGAACAAAACCTGCTTAACTAGCTTCATATTTACCAAGGTAGTCTTGAGTTCACGGACTATTTCTCTCCATATGAAAAGCGTTTTTAGTACCTCCTTAAATAGGATAAAGTCTTCAGCGAAACTGCTTTGTAAGCTGAAGTGTTTACATATCGTTGGAAGTGCGGTCAGTACTTAAGGAAATAGACTTTGGTACCTGATGTTTAAGTTTCGGCCTGCCGTTTAGAAGCTGTGGGCCGTGAGCGGCTCCAGTCCTTCCCACGCCCCCGTTTTCTCACACCTGGAGATGACCGTTACAAAGAGCTGCCTTAACCTGGGGCAACCGTGCAATTTCAGTAACTTACACAAAGGCCTGGCACATGCCTAGCACAGAGTAAGTATCCAATAAATGTTAATAGGTATCCACGTGCTGAGCGAATATAATGTGCCATAATTTTATTAATATTACTGTCTGTTGGTTCGTTGTGGAGTTGATAAAAGGTGAGTAAATAGTCTGTGCTCTGCAATGGCTCCTCCTAGCGGAAGAGATGGACATAAACATAGAACTACAGGCCCGGCCGCTGGGGGATGCTCAGAAGCCAGGGATAATGGAAGCTCAGGAGGGAAGGGGTCGGGTGGTGAGGCGTGAGATTGGACCTGCATCTTGAAGGATGAGTCGGCTGCCAATGGGCCGAGATGACAGGCCACACGGCCAGGCAAAGGCACGAGCAGCCAGACGCTGGTCTGCTGGGCCCGGGCAGTGGCAGGTGAGGCTGGGCAGTGTGCAGGTGGCTCGGAAAGACCGACTCTGAGTATGAACAGCTCAGCGTCACCACTGCACTTGCTGTGTTTTCTCAGAGAAGAAGTTAACGTGACTCGTCTTCCTGTTTTGTAGCTCGCTCTCAAAAGACTTCAGGCATCGGGCGTCTGATGGTGCATGTCATTGAAGCTACAGAATTAAAAGCCTGCAAACCGAATGGTAAATGCTTCTTTCATTCAACAGATATGGTGATGGCCCCGCACTCTGCTGAGGCCTCTTCTGAGCATCGGATAATGGATGCTTTTAAAGTCATGTGTCCAATGCCACTAACGTGGTTTGGGGCCAATATCATTACCACTGTTTCCCACTAAGCGCATACCTCCCCTCAGTGCTTCTGGGTGGAGAAAGCACGAAGCAGGTTGCACTGACACTTGCCTGGGCTTGTGGGGAGCAGCTGGGGCACCGGAGCCCACACGGTCACTCCCGGGTCATGGCCCTGTCAGCCCGGGGGACAGGGAGACCACAAGCAGACACGGGCCCTCCGGCAGCACCCCCTGCTGTCCGGTCTGTGCCACCCCTAAACGTGCCACCTGTGTCCTTGTTTGTTTTGGTTCAGGAAAGAGCAACCCGTACTGTGAAATCAGCATGGGCTCCCAGAGCTACACCACCAGGACCCTCCAGGACACACTGAACCCCAAGTGGAACTTCAACTGCCAGTTCTTCATTAAGGACCTGCACCAAGACGTGCTGTGTCTCACCATGTTCGACAGGGACCAGTTCTCTCCAGACGGTAAAGTATGACGCGGCCAGACCTCGGGCCGGAGCCGGGCGCCCGGCATTGCCTCCCACAGACCCTCCATCCGCACGGCTCCCTCGCCTGGCAGCTGTGCGGGCGCCTCCTCGGCAAGGGCAGCTCGGGGTGTTCAGGGGTTTGACCCCGTCTGACCACGTGGGTCACAGAAACTGTGCCACGCGCACCTGCTGGAGGGTGAGAGGTTCCCGACCAGACAAGGGCTCCAGGCAGGCGGCTTCCCTCCCCGTGTCCGTCCTCCCCGCGCCTCCACTCAGTCCACACAGCCCGTGACCAGAGGGAGTGGCTTGTTTGGGATTTGAAAGTTGTATGAATCCTGTTTCAGACACAACTCCTGGGGTAGTTTCTCCACCAGCTTTATCAAGAAGGCTTCTGACTCTCGCGTTTATTCACCAGATTTCCTGGGTCGGACTGAAATCCCAGTGGCGAAAATTCGAACAGAACAGGAAAGCAAAGGCCCTACCACCCGGCGACTCCTGCTGCACGAGGTCCCCACCGGGGAAGTCTGGGTCCGCTTTGACCTGCAGCTTTTTGAGCAAAAAACTCTCCTGTAGGGGCCTCGGGAGGGCGTCTGCCCTGGGCTGGGGCTGGGAAGACGGTGGTGCTGCCCCGTGGAGGACGGAGGTCGCTCAGCTTCATCCATCGCAAGGCCGCACGTGCGCTGGGGCCTCTCTAGTTGATCGCACACTAAATCGCTAGCCATCTATGCAAACACCTTCCCTATGAGTAAACCAAACCCCGCGGCACGGTGCCTTGTATGAGTGCTAACATGTTGGGCTGTTTGGATGCCACGGTTTCCATTTTCAGGGCTATAACAAGTATTACGTGGAGCTGAGGCATCGGACCACCGGACGTTACCACTTGGTTGAATGTGTCCACTGTGGGCGGTTTTGGTGACACTGTAACCATTCCACGCCCTGTGACCTCTGCTGGTCACAGCCACTCAGGAGGCCGAGGACTGGGAGGAAGGCTGTGGCCGCAGCGCGGGGCCAGCCTGATGCTGACATAGCGTCCACTCGTGCACTGAACAAAACCAGGCTTGATCCTTGAGCTCCTGGTCAGATTTATCCTTCTCTGCTGAGACAATGTAGTTGGAAATCTAAGGGGGAAAGCTTGATTTACTTTAAATACTGTGAACGCTAATGATGTGGAAAATATTTTTCAACTTTAATTTTCTGAAGTATAAATTATTTATGTAAATTCCTTGTTTTTGCATATTTCATAGGACGTGCATCTTTAAGCTTTATCATTGCCAATATGTACAGAAAGAGAATAAAACTATACGTTTATGAATGTCACTTCTCTCGGAGCTTGACCAATTGACTTCCTACGTGAATGGCTGCTTATAATGGAACCAGGTTCAGTGGGAGAAACCAAGGACTCACGGTGGGAGAGCGCTCGGGAGGCCCGGGCCTTGGCTGGACTCGCCACTGACCTGCCCTGCGACCCACTGTTCCCGGGGCTCAGTGTCTGATGCTAGACTGGAGGGGAGGAGGGGCTCTTAGTGTCGCCTCTGCCTACGGAACGCAGAGCCCCGCCCTCAGCCTCCAGGTCCTCTGTGTCTTCCTGGGCCTGGAGTCAGACCCCACCGGAGCCAGGGGCCGCACAGAGCAGAACCCGCACCTGGGAATCTCAGTGAATGTTCACATTTCCCAAGGGCTGCGGGGATCCCAGGGGAGAGCGGGGAGCGGGCGGGCGGGGGGCGGTTCTAAGGGGGCCCGACCAAAGGCAGCGCCCCTTCCTCGGGGGAGACCGAGCCCGAGACAGCCCTCGGGAAGGGAGCTGCTGATTCCTATTACACCTTTCAGCAATGCCTCTTAGCCTCTGGGGAAACATTTCCAATCACGGTCCATACATGGAGGTGGTTTCTCAGTTCTCACCTGGACACTGAGCTCAAACGTCAAGTGAGGTTTATTGCAGATGCTTTTCTCAGACCCAGGACGGCCCTGAGCACCTCCCGTGGTCCTCACCCTGATGCCCGCTGGCAGGTGGCTTCCTCCAGAGCAACCTTCCTCTGTGTCCTCTTGGCCAGTCCAGGGTCAGGCTGTGTGCTCCTTGGCTGCCGAAACCTTGTGAAGGGTCACAGAAGCGTTAGGTGTGGGAGAGGGGTGAGGGGCTCACAGAGCAGAAGGCTCCTGGGCCAAGCTGAGCTGACCCGCCTGAAGGGCAGTCCCCCAACCCAGCTGAGCGGCCCGTCCAGCAGGCAGGGCTCCCACCTGAACCTCCTGAGAGGCCAACACTGCCACAGCCCTTACCTCCCAGACACGGCCAGTGAGTAAAGGCAGGGATCAGAGACGGCCCCGAGATGTTTGTCCTGAGCCTCCCCTCACTCTACCTGCACTCAGAACCAGGCAGAGATTTGGGGCCACAGCCTGTCCTATTGTGTGTGATATTATTTGATCCCCGCCCGCCCCCCATGGTCCTGCACCATGTTTAACGAGTGCCTTACGATGAGAATCTGCTCTCTATAAACACCTATATTTCTATACATTTTACACTTTAGGGCTTTTACTTACTCGGTAGAGTTTACTACTTAAATTTAGTATATGGTCCTGAAAACTTTCTATCCTGGCTGAATTATGAGGAACAAAACACTGGGCCTCGCCTGGGTGTGACAAGTGGGAGGTGGCAGAGATGGTAGAGGTGGTGGAGAGAGAGGAGGGCACTGAGGAGGGAGCTGGGAAAACCCTCCAGTCCACCCACCAGAGGGCACCCCCAGGTGTAGCTCCCAGGGCAACTCCATTCCCTCTGGATCAGGGACGCCTGCCTCGGCCTCTCCTGTTCTCTCCCTGGCCTTCCTTTGTCTGAGGGCTCGGGGGAGTCCACTGCTCCTCTCTCCCTGAAATCCTGCCGCAGGGAGAAGCACCCAGCTGCTGCCTGGTGTCATGCCCCCGGGACTTCCCCAGCTCTCACCGCATCCTGGTCTTCCCTCCGCTCTGCCTTCAGGCTGAGGCTCAAGGAGGGCCTTTCAGCCTTGGCCGCCTCAGGATCTGGACGCTTTCCCTGCTGAGAACGTAGCGGTCCTTTTTCCAGAGAGCATAACCCTTCGTTTCTGTAGGGAAGAGCCGGAAAGGAAAGGGTCCCCCCCACGATCAGCTCAAGTGTAGCATTTAATTTTTTATTTCAATTTGCAGATGCGTTCTATATGAACTTGCATACTTTTATGAAAAAGAAATCCAAATAAGTAGCATCGCCTTGCTCCAGTCTTATTTGCACCTGAAATCTCTCTGCTGTTTCACCAGCTGAGCCAGAGTCCTTCAGGGGAAGTGGCCTCTCACAGGGCCGACCCTGGGCCTTCCGTGGGCAGGTTTAACTCTTCTGGGGACAGACATACCTTCTCTACCGGGATCCAAGTCTGGGATGCCTCCCTTATTTGTGGGAGAGAATCGAAACCTCCTCTTCCCGGGGGGAGTTCGTAGACTTACACCTCTAGGCTAAAATATAAGCCCTGCGCGCTTCAACAATGCCATTTTTCCCTTCATGTCTGGGGCTCACTCTGCTAGAAGAGGTATTTGAGGACAAACTCCCTCCTCCTTTTATAGCATACTAGAGGCCCAGTGCACAAAATTTGTGCATGGAGCGCGGGAAGGAGGGGGAGTCCCTCAGCTAGGCCTGCACTCTCTCCAATTCAGGACCCCTTGGGGGATGTCTGAGTGCTGGTTAAACCTGATTAGGTCTCAATCTGGGACCACTGGTTCCTAACTGCTCACCTACCTAATCACCCCAAACCACTTCTGCCTGCCGGTCTGATTGCCCCCTAACTGCTCCCCTGCCAGCCTCATCGCCCCTAACTGCTCTTCCCTGCCGGCCTGATCGCCCTTAAACCACCTCTGCCTCGGCCCCCGCCACCATGGCTTTGTTCAGAAGGATGTCCAGAAGATGTCTGGTCTAATTAGCGTATTACCCTTTTATTAGTATAAATACAGAAATGAAATAGGATGGTGTTCATTATCCTAAAACCTAGCCCAAATAGGTCTGTATAAGACCATGGCGGTTAGGGATAGGGGAGGAACTTACTCTTTTGGACCCTAATATACAAGAGTGATTCTGGGTCATTCTGTCTCTGAAGGCTGCTGCTACGCGTGAGTGGGGCATAGTTCAATACTTCCTATTACCCCTCAATGTCAGTTCCATCCACAGGCAGCAAACCTCATGGCTTCCCCACCCCCAACAGTCACCTGCTTCTACTTTAAATCACTAAGTCCCTCCCGAGGCAATTTTGGCCTCTCTGCTGGACATGCCAGCATCAAGCATCTCTGAGAGCCCTCGGCTCCTGCCACACTCATTTACTCACTGAGCTCTGAGCCTCCTGAGAAAGGGAAAGGGAACCTGCTACAGCTTCCCCTCGGGCCTTTCAGGAATAGAAACTCGTAGGCCAGCCTCCTAAACAGCTGCACATGAGCTCACTTCTCTCCTGCCTTGCTAGGGTCTCTCTTTTCATGAACAGCTTTACTGACGTGTAATTCATACCCCATTTGAACTGTACACACCAATGGTGTTTAATGTATTTGCAGAGCTATTTTAGAACATTTCCATCAGTCCTTTACAATCACTCTCCATTCCCAGCCCCAGCCCTGGGCAACCAATAATCTATTTCCTGTCTCTATAGATTTACCTCGTCCACCTTATGTCATATAAAGAGACTCAAACAATAGGTAGTCTTTTGTGATTTCCTCCCTTCACTGAGTATAATGGTTTTGCAGTTCATCCACGCTGTATTAGAACTCCTTTTCCTTTTAATTGCCAAGTAACATGCCCTGTATAAATGCACCACATTTTGTCCATTCGCCAGTGAATAAGCAACACTTGGGCTGTTTGCAGTTTGGAGATATCGTGGCGAGAACACGCATTCAGGACAAGTCTTTATGTGAATAATGTTTCTATTTCTCCTGGGTAGAAACCTAGGAGGTGAATTGCTGGGTCGCATGATAATTTCATGTTTCACCTTTTGAGAAATTGCCAAACTGTTTTCCAAAGTGACTGCATTATTTTACATTCCCTCCAGCAATGTCTGGGGATCCCATAACTTAATCAGATAGTTAAAAGGTTCTGTAACCATGTAGAGAAATCTCTTTCTTTTAACTCCACAACCAGTTTCTGGAGCTGACTCCCCAGATTACATGCACAGTAGTACATACCACTTCTCTGCTTATAACACCTCCTCGCTCTGGGTACCCAACAGTAACAGCTACTACCCCTCAAAACTAATCCAAAGTTACGCTTTACTATTCCGATTCAATTCAAGTCACTTTTAACTTACACGAGTCGTTAACCATTTTTTTTTCTGTCTGTGCTTGTCATTTCTGAATGTGTTAGCTATCTGTTCCTTAAAACCAGGACAAGCTGCAGAACGCTGCCACCGCACCCAGGCACCGGGGCGGGAGGTGCCTGGGGTCGTGCCACAGGAGCCTGGCACCTGCTTCAGCACTGGCTCTGGCAGCGCGAAAGGATGGCAAAGGGTGGAAACACAGCCAAGCGTCTTAAGTAAAGGAGGTGCCGACCTATGGAAGAACGGGCTTACTTGCAAAGAACTGCTTTTTCTCCTTCCTGGGATCCCGGAAGATGAGGCACTTTGGTCACGTGTTTCAAATCAAAACTACTAGCGTTGAAATTACTCTTCACCTTTAACCTTTAACAAGACAACATGTGTGAGGATGTTTGCAAGAACAATACCGGTTATACTCTTTCAGAAATTACTGTTAACCTTTGACGCTGTGTATATTGTCTAAAACAGCGGTCACCAACCAGTGGTCCGTGGACCACTGGTGGTTGGTCCGTGAGGTCCGAAAGGTTGGCGACCGCTGGTCTAAAATACCATCACTTCAAACTTGTGTGACGTCTCGGGCAAGTGAGAGCTGCTGAAACCAGGATGGAGGCTGGTTTACTCTTTACTGAGAACCTACTTGGCAAGGCAAAGTTTGCAGCACTCCCTATCCACTGGGGGTTTATACTCTAACTAGAGGCCCCGGTGCATGAAATTCATGCACGGGGGGCGGGGGTCTCTCAGCCCGGCCTGTGCCCTCTCACAGTCCAGGACCCCTCACTCCTTACTGCCCACCTACTTGCTGCTCCTTAGCGCTGCCAGAGGTGGGAGAGGCTCCCGCCACCACTGCTGTGCTCACCAGCCATGAGCCTGGCTTCTGGCTGAGCGGTGCTCCCCCTGGTGGAGTGCACTGACCACCAGGAGGCAGCTCCTGCACTGAGCGTCTTCCCCTCGTGGTCAGTGCGCATCATAGCAACTGGTTGTTCTGCCGTTTGGTCGATTTGCATATTAGCCTTTTATTATATAGGATGTAAAAAGAGGGCATAGAGATTGTGTCATTTATGCCCTGGCCAGTTTGACTCAGTGGACAGAGTGTTGGCCTGTGGACTAAAGGATCTTGGGTTCGGTTCCCAGTCAAGGGCACAAACCTCGATTGCAGGTTTGATTCCCAGTCCAGGTCAGGGTGCATGGTGGAGGCAACTGTCTCTCTCACGCCAATCTCCTCTCTTCTCTCTCTGTCTCTCCTTCCTCCCTGTCTTCCACTTTCTCTAAAAATCAATGGAAAAATATCCTTGGGTGAGGATTAACAAAAAGATGA